CCCGCCTCCGCGATGACGCCCGGCGGTGGCGGCGTTCGCCGGCCTTGCCCTGCGCCTTCCGCCCGCGGGGGCTGAGCCGCGCGAGCCTTGCTTCCTCCTCCGCCTCCCGCCTCCCGGCCTGGGTGCGGTGACAGGCGCGCTGGTGCCGTGCTCCTGACCCGCGTCAGCCCTGGTGCAGAACAAAGGCGCTCGGGCTCCTGGGGAGCCTGGCACCCGGGGGACAGACGCGGAAGGCGGCGTCGCCAGGCTCGTAAAAGCGCTTCCCGAGCCGGCCAGGCTGAGCGGAGGGTGTGTGCGCGAGAAGCCGGGTCCCCGCGCGCCGTCGACACCCGTGCCTGCCGAAGCCCTTGCATTTCCCGCGCGCATCGTTGCCCGGAGGACCACTGAACGCGCTCGGAGAAGCCAGAAGCTGCTTTAGGTCTCTGTCACGTTGCTCGAAAGCTGCCTTTGTCCGGCCTGGGACCTCTTAGGGCACGCGGCTTTTGACGTGTTCCTCGAGGTACGCGTGGTACCTCGCGTCTAGCCAGCTGAACGAAGTGTGTGGCTGCACTTTAATGGATAGCTTGTTTCATCGTCACCTTTTTCTTTTTTTTTTTTTTTTCCGGTTAGGAGCGCCTTTTCCTAATGTTTGATTTCTTATTTTCAACTAGGCGTGCACATTTCTAATGGTAGTTCTAATTTCTGCAGTTGTAGAGGAAATTCTGTCATTTGTGAGTGGATAAGGTTTTATTTCTTTTATAACTGAAATTACCCGATTACGTTAGCCTGCAAGCTAGTTGGGTGTTGTGTTTTGTTTTGTTTGTTTTTTGGTCACCTGGCACGTTTACTCCCAGGTCTCATCATTTTCCATTTTCCTCTAAACTCTCCCCAGTCCTCATAATCTTCTCTCGTGCAGCCCGGTAGTGTTGGGCTAGGCCGGAAGTACAGCGGACTGACCTATGCACACTTACAACTTGACCCAGTTATCATAAATCAGTACTTTTGTGGCCGTTAGGCACTACCGGACCTTTGAAGCTAAAAGTAACCGACTGTGGCATGGCAGGCTTACTTTGTATAAAGTTGCCAGTGAGCTGGGGACAGTGTGCTGGATTAGAAACAGTTCTGGCCTGCCCTGGGAACCAGGATGTGGTGTCACTGCCCTCGTATGTGAGCTACAATGGGGATATGGCGGCAATGTTTTATACCTCATACCCTGACTGGTTGAAATATAGATGAGGCGTGTAGAAGTGGAACAGTGTTTTTGTCCATCCTGACTGAAAGGAATAATGCCTGCTGGAGTGGTAAGGAAGAAGGAACGCATGTGAGGAAGAAACTACGTGTATCTAGATACAGTACGTTAACCTTGGCTGGCAGTGGATTGAAAGGTATCTTGTTAAATTTGTATATTAAAAAGCAGAATAAGTCATTCCCGAGCTATAATTTTGTATCCTAACTAATATAAACTGTTTAATGCCGAGCTAGAGATTAAAGTGTTGGGTTCTAGTCATTTTAAAGCTGTCATCATCTCCAGAATGTTCTGTGTGCTGATAATAAACATGGCCTTCGCTGGACTTGATGGCACACACCAGTCATCCCAGCACTCAGGAGGCCGAGGTAGGAGGATAGCCTCAAGTTGGAGGCCAGCCTGAGCTGCATAGTGAGCCTAAGGCCAGCCACAATTACAAAGCAAGACCCTATAAAGTGCAACTTTTTGGATGTCATAATTGTTCTGTGCTTATTTTTACAATTTTGAGGGAAATCAGTACCGTTCTAATTTTTCTTTAGATTTTCTGTTAACATTTTTGATACAGCATCTCATTTGATACAGCATCTCGTTCCATTACTTCCCGAAAGAAGTAATGAGTGAGCGCCTCTATGGATCTGGGGGTAGTGTTTTATGATCTTCACAGACATACAGAATGTTTATTAAAAGGTGAACATAAATATTGTAGAATAAAACCTTTTTGAAAACAGGCAAGTGAAATTTTGCCAGTTTTCCTTCTGCCAGCCGTAATTGATTTCAGCGTAGGTGGTTATTGCTTGTACCTAATTCACAGCAATGTTAAATTGCACAATAGTAAAATTGCTGTGTAAAATTTTGTTATCATTTAGACGGTTCTAAATATCAGCTTACTGTTTAATTTTTGCTTATTTTGCTAGCCTGCGTGTAGAAATCCCTGTCTGCGTCCCAGTTGGATTTACCACACCTCCCCTCAGGCTGCCTCAGGAGGAATTCCAGTAGCTCCTTGATTTTTAACTTCTCTGAGGATAAAGACTAGAGTTTATCAAGACCTCCAGAGATAGCAGGCAAAGGAAGGATATCCGCCCTTACCACCTATCTATTGAGAATTACATTGTTTCTGTTGCATTAGATGCTTGTAACAAGTAGCATAACAAAGTGTTACTTCCCCATTCTAATTTTTCTGCAAATCTCTGAATAAAATGGGAAATAGCTACGGTTGACTTGTGAGTCAGCAGTGTCCTGATTTCCTTCACAGTAATTTGTGCTTATTCACTCCTTTCTTGTTTCCTGTTCTTACAGCTGCTTGGTGTTAAGTGCTTGGAAGAACTATACTCTCTCAATTATTTAAATTGTTTTAATCTACGTAGTGTACTTTCCCCCCTAAAGTTCTTGATGAAACGATGGAGTTCTCCTGTTGTCTGTTTGACTGGTGTAGTTATCCCTTAACTAAATGTGCAGGACAGGACACGAAGTGTACTAACATTACACAGCTCAGTGTATGGTAGTGAAAGTTGGATAAGTAGGCTAGGAGAGCCCAAGAACTTGAGCTTTCCATATGTAAAGGAGCAGTTTTCAGCTGATGAACTTGTTCGAGTTGTAAAGCAGCTAAAAGGCACGATTTGTCTTTTGGAATTTTATAAGAGAAATATTTTCTCTTACAAGTAAAGAATAGCTTTACCAACAGAAATTTATATTGCATATAGGTAAGTACCCAGAAAATAGTTTCATTATGTTTTTGGAAGGTAAAAGTTAATCCTACTTAGGTAGTTTAACAGACAAAATAAATCCAAGAGGTTACTGAAAGGCTTCCTAGCCAGTGTTACCCTTTGCAGGCCTTCGGAATGCATTGATTGCAACTTTAAGTCAGTATTTTTATTTTTGAAATGTTACACAGTCTACAGCCGTACCACCGTGAACACGCCCAATCTTGTCTGAAATGTTGTGCATTTTTCTGGTTATTTGAGGTATTTGAAAAAGACATCCAGAACATCCTGATGCTTTTCAACACCTGTAGAAAGAGGAGAAGAGGGAGAGCATCTCTGAGCAGTGAATGTGCAGAAGAGTCCTTGTTTACTTTCGAGTGGGTGACACGGGCTTGAGGAAGCTGAGCACTGAGAGGCGTAGGGAAGTAAAACCTGAAAAAGACTGTATTTTCAACTGCTGGTGCTGGAGCGTAATGCTAGAGTAACCAGTGCCATATTATGTACGATTTGATCTTGTTCACTGCAATCCTGGTCCCTTTTCTACTCATCTGTGGGCCAGACAGAAGGAGTTCTCTGCAGAGAAGGTTCCTATCAACAGGTAGTCTGTAGCGAATTACTAAAAATGTGTGTTAAAGTAAAAAAACAGCTACAAAATCGAGATTCTTTTAAGTGTTTTTTACTAGTTTTTCAAAATTTCCTGGCTTATTGTTTTCTGCAAAAATTAAAAATAGCATATGTACTCCCATATATAAATAAACTAGCTTTGCAAAACAAGTAGTTTGCATTGAGGAACAATCAGTATCCTCCGCGTTTTTCTGTGCTAATGAGTGGCTCTGTAAAAACTTTCATCTTTTGGGAATGATTATGCAAGCTGGGCGGGGAGCCTTCCGGTCTTCAGGAAGGTGTGAGTTTAGTTTATGTGAAATCTAGCACTTCAGCAAAATTCCTTTGAGCACCGCAACATCGCAGCAGATAGGCCAGCCATAAAACATGACCACCTCATTGTTTGAGAACAGTTGATCTGAATGGTGGGTATCATTTTTTTGATAAGTATTTTTAAAAGTTACAGTTTTTAGAAATCAAATAGTGAAAAAGGACTTTGCATGAAAACAGGAAGGATGGCTACAGTACAAGTCATTGTCCCTTCCTCCTCTCTGGTCTCAGCCAGGGAGCACTAATAATATTCTCAGTATTATTAGTGATGTTTTATGGAGCTTAAGAAATATGTGTTGCTATTACTTTTTAATAACTTCATCTGTTGACTCTAAAGGAACTAAACACTCATTTACACTGCTTGCCTCTGGATTTGTCACTATTTTTGTGATACCCTTTACCAGTTGATGTTAATGACTTCTTATTTCTTCAACCAAAAGGAGTCTCTTTCAACACCTCTTTGTGAAATAAGGCTATTGCCACATGCACCCTTCCTTGTGAGAACCAGAGTTGAAGTTTGAATCATGAATGTAAATGTGTAGTGTTCAATTTCTAGAATAACTTCTATCCAACAGGTAGAATATTTAATTACGATACTATAGTAGAGAATATATTTACTTTCATTTTTGCCCCACCCCAATTTTTTGCATAACTCATGAAATAAATAACAGCCAGACTCAATATGTACATGTGCGACAGAAGACAAATATTTTCACTTAATAATATTCTTACTACAAATAGTACTCTATTGTATGTACTTTGGGCTGTTTTCTGTTCTGATTCTTTAGAAGGAAATTTCAACCCCATAAACTGGTTTCATGAGCAGACCACTGAACTAAATCCATGGAGGTGTGAACTAATGTGCATTATTGCACTCTTTTACCAGATAAAGAGTAAAGTGGAAGTTGAGTTACTGTGCTCTCTTTCCTCACAGGCCATTGGCTCTCTGGATTGTCAGGAGTTTGTAGTTGACATTGAATCCCGGCTGAGGATGGAGGGTGTGGAGCTGAAAGAAGAATGGCAAGATGAAGATTTTCCAATGTGAGCAGTGCTTCTCAGTGAACATACTTAGAGCAAAACTTCAAAATGTCTTTGTTGAGATGTCATTTAATTTATAAAGTGTTGTGAGTGATTATTTGGTACTAGGAAATGAAAGTTCCTTTCCAACAGTTAGAATGATTCTCTTATGTCTCATTTTTCCACCAAACATGTATAAAATCTATAGTTTTTCATATTTGTTTTTAAGTTTCAAATTTTTGTTGTACGCAGTTTTTTGGGGTTTTTTTGTTTTGTTTTTTGGTTTTTTTCCAGTACCGAGAATCGACCTCACGATCTTGCGCTTGCCAGGCAGGCGCTGTGCTGCTGAGCTAAATCCCCAGCCCAAAAGGCCCTTTCTAACAGTTAGAATGATTCTCATGTGTCTCATTTTTCCACCAAACATGTATAAAGTCTATAGTTTTTCATATTTGTTTCTATCGTTTAAATTTCACATCTTCTGTTGTACAATCCCAGGACTAAGGAGTCTGAGGGAGGAGGAGGGTGATTTTGTTTTGTTTTGGTTTTTTGGTTTTGGTCTGGTACCGGGAACGGGAATGGACTTCACGATCTTGCGCTTGCCAGGCAGGTGCTGTGCCGCTGAGCGAAATCCCCGAGCCCTGTACGCAGTGTTTTAATATGATGCTTTTAAAATTGGGGTCTGAGGGGCTTCTAGGAGAAAAGTGTTTGGTTGGTCTTAAGATTTAAATTGTGTGGGTGTTTTTCCAAGAAAAAAGCTTCGTTAATAAATAAACAAGGATCTTCTTTATCATCTGGCCAGCCACCTAGACGGTTTTGCAAAGGCCACCTTCTATTTAAATGCTGCTTTCGTGATCGTGGTCAGAAGATACCCCAGTACCCATAAGGTGCCTTAGCAGTTAGGCTGTGCGCAGCTAGTGGGACGCTGTGTTGTACAGCGCTTGGTGAGAGCGGTACAGATGTGCTGAGCTCGAGAGCTGTGGCTGACAGCACAGGTGAGACTGAGCGTCCTCACGCGGTGCATCGTACAGCACGTTAAACTTGCGCCTTGGAGTTCTACTTTATAGTTTATACTTTGATACATTTTATAATTACACTAGAGCTGTTGCACAAGGAACTTAATACCTATTTTTGTGTGTTACTTATATATATCAACTCTGATAGTCCAGTTTTTTTCTTTACATGGACTTTGTAAGTTATTAAAGCTAAGAAAAGTACTGCCTTATTCCATTTTCCACATAATTGTTCCTATAAGTTGTATTTTCATAGACCTTTCAACTTCAGATGTATATAGGTATCTCTCCCCCGCCTCTCTCTCTCTCTCTCTCTCTCTATATATATAGATAGATAGATAGATAGATTTTTTTTTTTTTTTTTTGAGTAAGATAGCATGTCTGTGTCTTCTAGACCTTTACCAGAAGATGACAGTATTGAAGCAGACGTGCTTGGTATACCTGGACCAGAGAACCAGCCTGGTAAGAGCTTGATGCTTTTGTTTTTAGTGAACTTTGTGGTAATTTTTAGCATACAGTATTTTTTTAGTCCCAAAATTAAGCACAAGAACACTGAACCTTGACTTCTTCAGAGGGTGCTAAAGGATAAATCAAACCTTGAAGGAAGCATTTTTGGAGTACTTCAGAAATTTAACTTTTCCAAAACATACCCTTGATTTCTGGAAATCTGTACAGGAAGTGGGAGTAGATCGTTTTTTTACTGAGATGTGACACTAAAGTCAGCCTCCGTGTTTTTTTTCTTTGATCTCTTGTCAGTGATATAGAGCGGTAGTAATTAAAATCCAAATTTTATAAATTAACGTTCCGGGGCCGTGGTGGCCTTCCTCCCAGGAGCCCATCTTATGTCTCCAGGGTGCGCTTTTACCTTGCTGTTTCCTCTTCGACTCGCCCCAAGCTTGCTTACCACAAACCTGCCAGTTTCTTTCACTCTTCACCTTTTCTTTTTCAAATAAACTTTGCTACCATTAAAAAAAATGTTTTTGGAATTTTTTTTCCTGTTTTTCTCGAATGAGATGCCTAAAGTGCTTCTCTTATTCAACTTGAGCATCTAAAGCGTGGTGGCAAGCCTGTGGCACACATGCGCCCACAAGCACACCCTCTGTGGGCACGCCAGCCAGGTTGCCCAAGCACCGTCCCAGCAGCTGAGCGTCAGATAACCGCACATACGGGCCGCGCACGCTCAGGGTTAGCAGCGCCGGGCAACGACACGCGTGATTTGGGCACTTAGCCTCTAAAAGGTTTACCATCGCTGAGCTGAAGCATTCCTTATAATAAATTTTTTGTTTCCTAATTCTAGACTCACCAGAAGTTAATGGAAATAAAGTGAGAAAGAAATTAATGGCTCCAGACATTAGCCTGACACTGGATCCTAGCGATGGCTCTGTGTTGTCCGATGATTTGGATGAAAGTGGGGAGATTGACTTAGACGGCTTGGACACCTCGTCAGAGAACAGCAATGAGTTTGAGTGGGAAGGTAACTGCCGCTGTTCTTACCTGACCTCTCTTCACATGTCCATCTCTGTGCACGCACGTGCTCTTATAGTGGCGCTCTCTTTAGGGGAATGAAGACATTGGCAAACTTAAAACTTGTTAGTGAAGCCTACTAAAATCAGTGTTGTAAGGGATTTTGTTTAAAATGTTACTCTTTTAAAAGTTCATAGATTTCTGTTACTGTGGTACAAAATTCTACAAACACATGAGTATTCTGTGCTTTTCCAAAGTTTTTCTGCATTTGTTTTAAACTGACCAGTGAAGCAAGATTGTTTGCCGTAAGTTGCTTAAACACATTGTCTGGTAATTCTAACATGCTCTTTTTCAGTTGATGAAGTAAGTAGAAAACTTCTCAGCAGACATAACGTAGAGAATGTGCTAAAAGTAGTTGAGGATTTGCAGAGAGGGTGTTCTGAAGAGAGACTTGGGGGATGACTTTTTAGGTAGGTTTGCCGTGTTAGTACTTGGCGCAGTGACCAGCTTCAATTAATGTGTACACTTAGCCTCCGTGCCTTCATCGTTTTCATTCGGAATTCAGAGGAATTGGCATGTATTCGGCTTTGCATGCTTTCTTGGATTACATCATTGCTGTCTACGATATCTTTATATAGTTGTTAATAATTCGTATGTGCGATCTTTAAAATGATCTTCACTCCAAAGGCATGCATAGCATTAGGTATTTTATCTGCAGTAAGGAGTGGTATGCTGTATCTTTTGTTCCTTTTTTCCTTCCCTGTTTTGCTGATTCAGTAAGCAGTCCAGTAATAAGCAATATTTTATAAAGATACTGAAATAGTTTTTTCTGCCTATGTGTTTTGTCTCTTTCTTTAATGCTGCTGTAGTCATTTCCTGGAAGGATATTTTCCGTTAACAGCTTTGTCTTGGAAACAACTAACATGCAGTAGGTTCCCCTCCCCCCATCTTTTGGTAAGGACTACGATACTAAAATTTTGAAAATCATTACTTCATTAAAAATCAACTAAATTGCAATCTTGAAACGTAAATTATACCTAATCATTGGTGCTTATTCTTTGGCTAATATTAATTTAAATAGACTTTTGCATGTATTCTTCAGAATATATATACATTTCTGCTTTACAAAACTGATCACATGCAAAATGAGCACTGGGTCGTTAACCACTTTCTATCTGGTATTTCAGTGTTGGGAATTGTTCTCAGAACAGTTGGCCCTCAGTTACCTGGAGTAACCTGTAGTAGTAAATATCATGGACAGTGTTGTCATAAGTACAGTCTTGAAAGCCATTGTAGGACCATTGTAAGATTTCAGTGGCTCTACAAACTATCTTTTTTGAACCTTTGGAAATTAATTACACTGGATTAGGGATTAGGTACTTTGTTGAATTGGGCAGAAACTGATTTCCAAAGACATAAAATGGCCTTATATTTAAGACCAAGCCTCTTCCTTTATTGGAAAAGAGATATTTCAAATTCCACGAGTGATATAATGGACATTCTCTGAATAGCCAGGCATGCTGGGATCGCCTGAGCCCAGGAGTTTGGGCCAGCCTGGGCAACATAGCGCAACCCTTCTTCAGCAAAACAAAACAAAAGCTATATAATCTAGATAGCAAAGTGGTTAACACATAATTTTATTTGTACTGTAGAAGTTACAATTTGTGATTCAGAAACCTTTTATGTTGACAGATGACCTTCCAAAACCCAAAACTACTGAAGTCATTCGGAAAGGCTCCATCGCGGAGTACGCTGCAGCAGAGGAGAGGGAAGATGGGCGGCGCTGGCGCATGTTCAGGATCGGAGAGCAGGACCACCGGGTTGACATGAAGGCCATCGAGCCCTATAAGAAGGTCATCAGCCACGGAGGTGAGAGCGGCCGCAGATGGTTCCCAAACCCAGATGCTTTTAGAAAACATCCCTGCAGACGTTAACATAATTTTGAAAGAATAATAAACACGTCATTTTAAGGACATAAGTTTGAGGTAAAAGAATAAAACCTAAATTTAAAAATTGTTAATATACACGTGCAGCACAGTCAAAAAGTGTAAATGAGTGCAGAGAAAAATGTCTCCCCTACACCTGTCTCTAACCCTAACTGAGAGTTACTTTCTCCCCTTCGCATGCCTTTGTAATTTATACATTGAAATACTCTGATCTTAAGTATGTAGTTGAATGGATTTTGACACATCCCTGTATAACCGTAGGTACTCATATTCGTAACCCACACTCCTAAATAGGTAGAACATTTTCATTGTTCCAGAAATCTTTCTAGTACCTCTGTCCAGTGAATACCCTGCAATAACCGCTCCTTTCATGTGTAGCCTGATGATTAGTTTTACCTGTTAGAATTTTATTTAACTAGGATCACATACCATCTGTTCACTCTGATGTACTGCTTTTTGTTCAGCATGTTTTTAGAATACATGCATATTGTTGCATTTATTCACAGTTTATTCCTTTTTATTGATGAATATTATTCTATTACATTCACGTATCTGTTTACCTTCTGATGGGCATATGAATTATTTCCAGTTTGGACTAACATGGTAAAGCTTCTGTAAACATTCTTGCACAAGTATTTTCTTGAATATTAGACATACCTGGACTTTTTAAATTGTAACACTTAATTTACCTGAAACTCTGAACAAATAAAGCATTTAGCTTTAGTAAAACACTAATTACACATTTTTATGAAGTACGCACTTTGCAGATTTGTGGGGTACACAAAAATAACAAAGTTTAGTTCCAAGTCAAGTAGGAAAGCCGTGAAAGTACAAGTACTAAGTCCTGTTAATCCAACTGTGTCATATGCAGATGTTTACCTAGGCACCGTGTAAAGAGTGCCAGAATGTTATCCAGTAAATACTGTGCAGTAACACTGTTGCAGTGTTCGTGGTAGTCAGAGTATAACTTGCCTTGTAGGATACGTATTTCCTTAAATCCTCCCTTATACCACTGGACAGATGAGCACAGAGGTCAAGGATACTGATTTATTTCTCATTTTTATTTAATTTACTCTCTGCCAACTGCATTTTCTTGCTTCTGCAGTCTTCATTCATCTAAAAGCAGTCACTTGAATATTTGCAGTTACATTCTTCTGCCTAATTTAATCTCATTCAGATGAAAAAAACAAGTTAAGGGGCTGGGGATTTAGCTCAGCGGCAGAGCGCCTGCCTGGCAAGCGCAAGGTCATGAGTTCAGTTCCCGGTACCGGAGAAAAACCAAAAAAAGAAAAAAACAGGTTAAGTTGGAGCAGGAAGTCCACAGACATACATTAATTCAGCTAGTTCATAGAAATGAACTTGTGAGACCTGCTTTATGCTTTAAATCTAATTGTCTTTCTGAAGTAGCACTTTATTTTTCTTCCTGGAAAAATACTAGGGCATCTTAGCCTATTGGATTATCACACTTAATATGTTTTGTGACTGAGGAATTAAGAAAGTGGAGATTCTAGTGTTCTTGAAATGTTTGGATCTTTTCATGTTTATAAGCAATAGAAATGACTGTTAATAAAACATACACGTTAGTATGTATAGTTATATCAGAGAAGTGATCTTGATTTTAATATCCTAAATTCTATAAAGTATTAGGCATTGTTGACTATAAAACTATCTTTTTAAAAAAGTATCCACTTTAACCATAAATTGCATGAGAATGTTTTATTTTAGATACTGTGTTGTTTCTGCTTGGATTATATTTCTGCTTGGATTGTATCACTGTATTTCTGTAGTTGCTATAACATGGCCCCCTTTTTCCTATACAAATTTAAGTTTTCCGTCAGCCACACAGATGCCCTATAGAGTATCCTCACAGTGAAATCATGTTAGTGATTTGACCTTTGATTGTTTTTTCAGGATATTATGGGGATGGATTAAATGCCATTGTTGTGTTTGCTGTCTGTTTTATGCCTGAGAGTGGTCAGCCTAACTACAGATACCTGATGGACAATCTCTTTAAGTAAGTTATCTTAACAAAAATGTTGGGACAGAATTCTAAGATAATTCCAGCTCCACTTTAAGGGAGTGAAAACAAGCCAATATAAAAATTATAAATAATGTCAGTTCTGTATCTTGTTATTCAGCATCGTGAAACTAGTTCTGCAATTCAACAGAAATATTGGCAATTTAAAACTAGAAAATTTATCTCAGGTTGTCTGTTTCAACTTCATTATTTTACATTTGCACATGTTAAGTATAAAGAAGTAGCTTTTATCTCAAAATCAAGCGGCCAGATTACATTTTCCCCTAGAAGCCCAGTGTAATGAGGTGGCGTGGCTTTCTTATTTCCACAGAAGCATTCTGTTTCTCAGGTTGCTACAGTTTCAAAGTCCTTATTGGGGGAAATTTTAACTTACACAGAAGTAAAGAAAAATAGATCAGATCATCCATCCGTCACCCACTTCCATAATTCTCAGCTTATACTTCATTCCCACTTCTTTCCCTGCTGTAGAATTTTGGAACAAATCCCAGTCATCATGTCATTTAACCTATAAACGTTTCAATATGCACCTCAAAGAAATAACTCTTAAATAATCATGATGCTAGCGAATGCAGCTTTAGATTTTTAATTGTCCTCATTACGTGGAATTGAGAAGGGAGTCATATAATTTGGCAAGTCCATTTCAGTTCTGCACACAGTGATATATAAGGCTGAAACTTAACTTCTTTTTGTAGGTATGTTATTGGCACTTTGGAGCTGTTAGTAGCAGAAAACTACATGATAGTTTATTTAAATGGTGCAACAACTCGAAGAAAAATGCCTAGTCTGGGATGGCTCAGGAAATGCTATCAGCAGATTGACAGAAGGTAATGGAAACACAGGGGGAAAGCTCAACTGAACGATTTTTACAGTGTCTTTATTGGATTAAATTTTCTTTTGCCGCTTAAAGATACCATCTCCACTTCCTAGTTACATTTCTTAACTTCGTGAGTTTCTGTTCTCTAAAGGCAGTATTTTAGAATGTTAGGAATAAAATTAATTTTGAGTAGTCTTATAAAGAATAGCTAATTCTTCAAAGCAAACTTATCAGATCGTTCTTTATTTTTCTCATTTATGCCATTTGGAACACTTCCTACAATTTATATCGTAGGGAAAGAATGGGGAACACAGTACATTTTCTATTGCTTCTGAGTTTTGCCTAATTTGTCATGCTTAGTATATTTTATCTTTCTTAAATAAACTAGTTTAGCTATAATTTTCCTCAGCACAAACCTTTGAAATATGTTCTCTTAAGAATTAGTGGTCTATGCTAATCGAAGGAACTTTAATCTTCCAATTGATTTGATTCTGCCATGGCTAATTGAAAATAGTTTAGTCAGCTCGGGCCCGTGAATAGATTCTTCTTCGTACCTGTACTGGACACTAGCTAGCTCTTCTGATGAGGGGGCAGATAGGAGTGTGAGTGGGCGGGTGTGTGTAGATCCATAGTGATCATTTTATTTATGTGTGAAATGTGCATGATAAATAGCCGTTTTTATTTGGTTGTTTTAAAGTTTTGTTTTGTTTTGAGACAGGGTCTTTGTAGTTCAGGCTAACCTTGAACTCACTGTGTAGACCAGGCTGGCTTCAAACTCACAGTGATCCCTCTGGCTCAGCCTCCAGAGTGCTAGGATTAGAGGGCGTGGGCCACCACACACCACGCCCAACTGAAATTCTTAAGAACTGGTGTTAGATCGGATTCGTGTTGTTTGTTTGGTCATCTCTGCTCCTTCCTCTCTACCTGCACAGTATCTTTCATGATGTTAAAGAAATTAGTACCAATTTTGCTCTTGTCTTTTTCTTTTTTTTTTTTTTTTTTGAGACAGGGTCTTACTCTGCAGTTCGGACTGGCCTTAAACTCACTTTGTAGCCCAGGCTGGCCTCAACTCACAGTAATCCTCCTACCTCAGCCTCCTGAGTGCTGGGACTATAGGCATGTGCCACCACACCTGGCTGTCCTAGTCTTGAAAAGTGAAAATAGTTTACTTTCATATTCTGTGTTAACCTTTCCTGGACTGACAGAGTCCTAAAGGTGATGAGTGTGTGCTGGGATACGCTTGATAAGGTTGGCTATAGTGTAGGTGTGAGTTTAGCCAAAGCAAGTACAGCTGATTGTAGAGCAGTAGGAGACACCTTCGGAACTCAGGAATGCATTTCCTTGTCTCAGGAGGATCGTGTCTAAATGAGAACTTCTGGTGACGCTGTTCAGTTATTTTGTATCAACCTGCACATAACTTTATCTCTTAATTTCTAGCATTAGGATTCGTAGAAATTTATAAATTATTCTTTAACTCTAGGTTGCGGAAAAACCTGAAATCTCTAATCATTGTACATCCCTCTTGGTTCATCAGAACACTTCTGGCTGTTACAAGACCATTTATTAGGTAATTCCCTAAAGGCCTTTGACGTCATAAAAACTTTTTTCCCTTGTATAAATTTCTTGGTATTGTGAGTGAGAAATACTGATGTGGTTGTCTTTATTTTCTCCATAGCTCAAAATTTAGCCAAAAAATTAGATACGTCTTTAATTTGGCAGAACTAGCGGAACTTGTTCCAATGGAGTATGTTGGCATACCAGAATGCATCAAACGGTATATTTTGTTTTATTTCTTTAATTATATTATGTTAACCCTTTATATTTTGATGTGCGAGAGGTAATAGTTTTCAGTATTCATTTTTTCTTCTACTTCATTTAGTATTTATAACACCTTTCAAAGAGCGGAAAAAGCGTCTATCCCACATCTCCCTTCTAAGTGCCTGTGTTCTTGAGACTGTCATTTTCTTCAGATTATCAGTTGAAGAACTGGGAAGCAATTTTGGGTTGTATGGTTTCATTTCACACATTTAAAAACTGGTGGTTATAGTCTTAAATGACTTTCTGACTGACCAGTACTGAAAAGCACTCTCCACTTGAACATGTTGCTCTTCCAGTCTGAGTAAAATTTCTCAAGGCACTGAAAAATGATGTTGCTGCGGCTGGGCGTGGTGGCACATGGCTGAAATCCCAGCCCTCAGGAGGCTGAGGCAGGAGGATTGCCATGAGTTCTAGGCCAGCCTGGGCTACATAGTTCAAGGCCTGAACTATATAGCAAGATCCTGTCTCCAAAACAAAAACAGTTGCCCAGAGAAAAAAACATTTGTTTAAATCAGCCCAACCCTAGTATTTCAGTGGCTGGAATTTGTTCTCTTTACCGAATTCACTTTTGTCTGTCTAACTTCTGAAAAGACTTGTAAGGCTATTAACATAATTACCTGAGCCTCACATTGCTGCTAGTAGGAAAGTTTGTCATGTAACCCAAGGCTTTAGACTGTTGAGTGTGTCCACACTAGACTTAATAAGTCAGTGTTTACTTTCCACATAATACATTTTTGGTTCTGCATATAGACTAATGTTTATTTTTAGTGCCTTTTTTAGTTTTTGTTTATCTCATGTGTATTTACTGAAATAACTCTTCCCTACCAAGGTATGAAGACGAAAAGTTTAAAAAGAAACAAAAAAGGTATATGCACACCTTGACTGGGTTGCATCTAGACTAGTCCATCCGCATTGCACAGACTAACTCCTCCTTACTGGCTGGTTAGCGTGTAGACAAAGATGAGAGCACTTGCAAATATAAGCAGACCCCAGCATCCAAGTGCATGGCGGCGCAGAACTCCTGGTGCTGCATGTGAGCTGGAGTCGCCCTGTTTTAATACTGAATACATCATTAGGAATTAAGCTGCCCTCTTTCCTTTCTCTCTGAATACTGATGGTGAAACCAGAGAGGTTCCTAAGAATATTTTTTGAAATGCCAACATTGAAGACTGTTTCACCATTTTCTTTAACTCCCTACATTGTGCTTTTGAAATATTTATGCAGTCGTTTTTTAAGGAATCAGTTTCCTTCCCTGGGGTTGATGATTATATTTGCAATGCGTATATTCTTTGGCTAACCAACATTGGTTTCCTTGTATGCTTAAATTAGCCTGTTAACCAACCAGATTCTACATGTGATAAAATACCTACAAGTTCAATGTACCATTTAACACTTAAGCACTCTGCTTTCCATTTAAAATTTAATTTTGAATACCTCCGCTTTGAGCATAACTATCTACTTATATCTTGATAATAGAAGTTGAAAAGCAAGGGTATATGATAGTTACCATTTTCTGTAGTAATTTAGAGAAGTAGGATTTACATGTGATGTGTTAACAGATATTTAAAATACTGACAAATTAGCAAAACATAGTTTGATACAGTGTCTCTTAAGAACTAAGTTGGGAGATTTCTGTATATTGCTTTGACCATCTCAGGTCGGCTGGAACGTCTTAATATTGACCACATTTCCTTTCTGTTGGTGAGCAAGAATTCAGTTGAGCACATGACAGAATCATAGACATTTCTGTGTGACACCTTATAATTTAACCAATACTAACAAAGAAAGGTGACAGTGATTTTAGATCATACAGATGTCTCACTTCTTCCTAGGCATAACTATGCATTTGCCAGACAAGTCTCTGAAATTTAAAATATAATCTGGAATTACTGCTATTTTGAAGCCAGCTACTTCTTGCATTTCAAAATGAGTTGCCTTTGCTCATAGAAATATGCTGTCCCGGGGGCTCGGGATTTAGCTCAGCGGCAAAGCGCCTGCCTCGCAAGCGGAAGGTCGTGAGTTCGGTTCCCGGTACCGGAGAAAAACCAAAAAAAAAAAAAAAAAAAAAACAGAAATATGCTGTCCATCTTTTTTTTTTTAAGTTCTTAGTAGTTAATCAACTGTCAAAAATTTTAGGCATTAGGAAAAAAGTACAACTCATACTTTTTAGTTAAATGCATTATTTGAAACTTGTCACTATTATTGTATCTTGATTTTTGTTTTTTTCCACTTTTGTGTTTAACTGTAACTAGGACATTGTATGTATCCTTCAGGTACTTAAGTTTTTATACAGTTTCTTAAGAAATAAACTCTTGAGAAACAGCCTTGAAAAATAAAGTCCTTGTCAGTTTGAGAGTGACAAAATTTAATTTTTTTAACTAAGTGGAAATACAGAAACATGTTTCTAAAACCAAAATTTCAAGCACCTAGGTGTGGGAGCTTATTTAAGGTGACGTGAGGCACACCAGTGTTAATGTAGACAGTTGAAATGTTGCTGATATTTCAGACAGCTCAGTGCAAGTGTGGCCGGGTAAATGGCAATTTAAATATTTCAACAGAATTTAAAAATAATGATGATATAGCACATAAGGGTATTTTAGATGTGAAAAAATTAGACATTTATTGTCAAATGCCTTATCGGGAAATGTGTACCTTTCAAATATTTGCTACCAGTATAAAGAACCTTCAAAAATGTTAACCTGGCTTTACAGTAGGCCGGGGCTTTTACTTCTGGTTCACGAATATTTAAGTGAGCCAGTGATCGTAATAATGGTTACTGATGATCGTAGTAATGAGAACAAACGTGAAAAGTATCTTCTTCCATCGTACCAGATTGGTTTTGTGGTAACCAATTTTGTTTTTGTTTTATTTTTGCAATACTAAGGATTGAACCCAGAGCCCTTGCACTGAGCTGTATCCCCATCCCTTTTTATTTCTTAGCTTGCAACAAGTTCTCAGTAAGTTTTCCAGGCCGAGCACAAATTTGCAGTTCTTCTGTCTCAGCCTGCCAGAGTGCTAGGGTCACAAATGTGCACCCTAATGCCTGGCCATACCAGATTGTTTTGGCCTTCCCACACGTGGGCTGCTCACACCACTGCAGATACATCGCTAGACCGTTATCTTTGAAGCATTGTCTATAATTATTGTGTGGTAATTACCCAGTTCTTACACTCCTCACATTGATAAGCCCTGTCTCCAGATTTTTAATGCACATTTGGATATTTCTGAACGTTAAATTCTCAACAGTTTCTTCCTACCACAATTAATGAGAGCTGTTCACAAAGGGTGGTGACTCGTTTTGGAGAATAACTAGATTTCTATAAGTACGCATTTCTGTTACTGGATTTAAAAAATATGAATTGACCACGGGTGGCTTTAATGACACTTTGATGTTTCATTTAACAAAATCATCTTTGAGGGACTGTCCCCCTCTGCCAATCTCTTAGCACTTGGGTCCCCGCTGCAGCCCAGCTTCTCGTCAGGAACTTCTGAGAGCGTTTATCTGTGTTTGTGTGCAATTGTAGTCTCTAAAGAAACAACAGTCGTGTTTCTTGCCAGTGTCCTCCTGCCTTAAAATTCTGTTATCTCTTTTGGTTGGGAAAAATAATATTTGGTAATCTTTTACTGTGTCTGCTTCTTTGCAATGCTTTGTTTTTTAACAGAATAATATTCTATGCTGAAAGTAGTCACTGTTTTTAGAAAGATAGTTGTTCAGTCGCTGGTATCTTACTGTCTATATTTTTCATTAAACAGAGTCGATCAAGAGCTTAATGGAAAACAAGATGAACCAAAAAGTGAACAGTAAGTTAGGCCTCAAGCTCAGACAAGACTGAAGGGTGTGGCCGTGATGAAGCCATGTTCTGTTTCGCATTTGTGATGCATTTCTTGGCTTGTATTTTTGTGTAATCTGTTACAAAATCAAATTGACTTTTTAATGGACTTTTGTACAAGGGACTGTTCACTGCTGTTTTGGTTTTTAAATCTCGAATTTAGCTCTTCGGTGGCTACTTATATTGTACTCACTTTATATTTTCTATTGCTAAATAGCAGAGAACTACACTTTATATAAAACAATTTTTGCATTTGTTTGTTGAATAATGCATCTTCAGTAAAATATTTATATGCATAAATGGCAAAGGAAAGAAATAATATATATTTTTATGTTTTTAAACAATATTTTTTAATGTATACCTATCTTGTGGAAGAATATTCAGGTAAATAAGACCATGATTTTGTAAAGTACATGTTAGAATGTTTGTTTTTCTACATGGTTGAATACATTTCCTGGGCAACTTAGAAAATTAAGTTGCTCTAAGGCAAGAGACAGTTAAACTGATTCTCATGAATACCCAAAGATAATAAATAGGTTAGTAGCATCCCAAGCTCACTTGACATGTATAGTTCTTTAACTCAAAAGTGCAAATACAAGTGTACTGCACACTTACTCCTTTTTAAAAACAAGTCAAAAAGCCATTTTTCAGAACTAGAGAACTTAAGAGGCTAGAAATTAGGGTCTGTATATATGTATATTTGGGATATTTTGTCTTCTGGCCCAAAGTCAGGACTGTTACAGAAACCTTGGATCTGGTCGCTGATGTGAAGCAGGCCGTGTGTTGGGAGCGTCGCCCTGGGCTGTGTGAGGGCCACGGAGCGTTGCAGAGAGTGGGGCAAGGTCTCACTGTCGCACTTTCTCGGTAGGACACAGGCTGCTTTTAAAATCCCTCACTGTGGGCACTTTACCAGGATACTTCCGTGTCACTTACCTGAACTCAGTGGTAGATCGGCCTCGTAAGATACGGTATGTTTTCAAGTTTCTGTTGAATCGTGTTTGACGATTCTGTAAATTAGATTAATTTTGTAAGTCTTAGAGCATCATTTTCTCGTGCTGTTTGGGACATCATGTTTGATAGAAGCATTTAAGCTCCTCGTTTCGTTTGGCGACTACCTTTACATTGGAATAAATGGTGTTTGTGCAGCCAAACAGCTTAATTACCCGCACACTCTCCTTCAAGCCGCTCACTGGTCTAGTGTACGTCCCATGCCGGAATAGTGTGAATATGTGCAGTAAGCTCATTACCGTCTGTTTGAAGATCACGCTGTGCAGCCACCTGTAAGCTACTGTACATGAGTAGCAACGTTAAAGTGGCTGTGAGCTCAGCTTTCAAGATGCATTGTGTCCTGTACTGAACGTATACATGGTTTACACTGCCGTCATTTTTTAGTATTTCTGTCACAAAAGGGAATTTTTCTTTCACTTTTTGTCCTCTTCGGCCATACATTAGTGTGCTAACACAGAGTCTAGTCGGAGGTACTAGAGGATTCTCTGGATGAAATAATACTCTTGAGCAGCCTCTCGACTTGGATCCAGCAATTCTGGGCAGATCCTGGACTGATGGCATTACAGTAAATTCAGCCGGAACCACCATCTTGGAAACATTTTGTGTTGAAGAAGGAACAGAAAATGACTACGTAGGCATGCTTTCTAAACTTCCCATGTGAGGGAGAGGAATGTGGGTCATGCTGTGATCAGACACGATACTTGCAAAGCATTGTGGGTGGTCTGGTCTGTATGTCTTTATGGTCTTAAAACGAGTGGAACTTTCTAACTGGTGGTTTACTACCACACTAAGTCCTTAGCTCCTGAACTTGAAAAATGTAGAGTAATTGAAACTTTTTATTGTGTTTATTAACTTTTGCAGTCATTATTCCTAACTGCAGAACTTTCTGGGAAAGTTCCGTTTTTCTAAATTTTTTAAAAATAGAGGTAGCCTAATTCTGTCAAAACATTACAATTCAGAGGGAGCAGTGGTAACACTTGAGTTACAGTGAAAGGGCCAGGCTCTAAACCACTACCTTAAAGGGATGCTGTTTTATGTGTACCTTCATGGGGTCTGCTGTAGGGATATACCCACAATAAATGTCTCATATGTAAGCTGATAATTAGTAGATTAGAAGGATTTCAGTTTATTTGTAACTTGTAACATTTTCCCTTATTCTATTTTGATTTCCATTACTGATGGAAGTAAAAGTACATACAATTTTATTGTTTCTACTGGGATCATGGATCTAAGTTAAATGGTTTGATTTGCTCTTTCTCTCACCAGCTGTGAGTGCCCCTCTTTAGTCAAAAGTTTCTCTTATGAGGTATGAAATAGGCACCGGGGATATAGCTCAGCGGCATAAGCGCCTGCCTGGCAAGCTCAAGGTCCTGAGTTCACTTCCCAGTACCAAAAAAAGGATAGGAGGTATAAAATAATTTGATTCTGCTTGATCATATTCTTAAACAGGCACCAAGGAAATCTGACGTTGAGCTCACCTTTAAGTTTAGTCATCATTAATTCCAGCAGGGTGGAGAGGACATGAAGAAAGAGGCACTGAGTAGTAGGTGAGAAGAGAGAGAACCCTTACAAAGGGACGGTGACTTCGCTCTTACCTAACCTGCCGCTGTACCCCCGACGGGAGTGCTACACAGGCAGCTAGTGGTGCCTTCTCTGGAGTCCAGCAAGAACACCGTAGGCCACACACTGTTTGATGAGGCGACCATGGGTTGAAGAAAAAATTGGTAATACCTGTGATAAAAATGTGTGCTTTTCTCTGCTTTCTGTGTCTCTTGGTACAGAAGCAAGTTTGAATAGACTGGGTTAAAAATACAGTGCTCAAGTTCATGTTCAGGACTGTCATTTTCTGTTTCTCAGTTGGGAAACTGCTTTCATAATAAAATCTTGGGCTGGTAGTGCGGCTCGGTGGTAGAGCACTTGGGTAGCATCTGCCAGGACCTGGGGGTTCAACCCCAGGAATGGCAAGCAGGGAAGAGGGGAAAAAGAAACCAGAAACTCCCAACAGACACCGCTACTTAGTAGCTGCACTGAACACAGTACTGAAATCTGCTGCTTGACCAGTAAATAGCCATAGCTAGTTTCTTCAACCACAACTCCAGAATCTGAGAGGCCTGCTTCTTGATAGGCTTACTATCTGGCTGTGTGAGTGCTCAGGGAATGCAGAAGTGACTTAGTGCAGAAGTCGCTTTTTAGATTTCTTCAGTTGACAGATAAGTTAGTGTATATCTGGTAGAATATGTCAGTTTCTTGATGAGTCCAAGGTTGTATAGGGAAGATGGAGGCAGCTTCAGCCTTCTTTTTCCTATGTTGTAACATTGTTACCTTTGCTGAGGTAGAGATGGGCTGACAACAGAGATGACTACATCTTGTTTTTGTTTTGACGCCTGTTTTTTCTTTCCCCATTCTATATGGATACTTGAGAAATGGGCCACAAACAAACTTCAGAGGGATGGAGTAAGTAAAAGGAAGTAACGTAAGTTAGGCCCGCCTTGCTACAAGAGAGTTCATCTGTCCTCGGGGAATGGAATTTGTGGTGTTTGAAATTGCTGGGAGGGAGAGCCAAGGACTGAGGCCGTTGGGAAGGCTAGTGTGGAGGGAAGTGGGGTTCGCCTTCCCCGAGTTCTGAGCACCCCTTCCCTTTTCCGTGATGCTGTGTGAATTTAGAGTCATCACCAGGGAGGCCCACTAATGCCTTTGCTTTAAAGTTCTAAATGGCAAGCAGAAATAAAGTAGAACAATACAAAGCAACAGTAAAACTTGAATAGAATAGTTTGTTTTGCAAACTAAAACTGCTATGAAAAATTCCTATGCAGCATTTCATAAGTCAAGCACCAGATGAAAACCAAGTCTGCTTTCAAGTCAGTAAAGACTGATACTGAGATGTTGGCTTCATGTAGCTATTGGGTCTTATCTTACGTGACATCTTACATTCAGCAAAAGGTTATCTTTGCTTTTGAAGTTTTTAAAACATTTTTCACATTCAGTTTGACACAGGAACTTGGATAATATCAGCTACTTTAATGTCCCCTTTTAACAATTGCTTGCTAGTTTATTTACATAAGCCTGCCTAGTAAATACTGGTGGTATTCAGGGCCACTGATTTGCACAACCCTTGGGACACAATTCACGTAAAACAATTCAGAGTGTCAGTGCACTTTGATACATATTTCAGAAATACGTTTGTTACAAGTTCACACGCTGTCATTTGAAAAAAGTTACTGTGACCTTTTTATAGTGTTAGATTGCTGTTGACTAGTACCGTCGTTTCAGCGTGAGAAATTAAACTTCGATATCTGTATGCAACATGCTGATGAGGTCCCTGTAAGAAATGTTAGTACTGGTCATGATTCACAATGTAGGAGATGTAATATTTTCTTTTCCTTTGACCTTTTAGGAATACAGTAACTTGTGTCCTTTTTTGTTGCACATAGTTTTCCAACGTTAATAAATTTAATTGGAAAGTTGGTATTTGCCTCATTTTATCATATTTCTTCATTATGCTACGACTTTCACAATGAATCATCTAATAAGCTTTTCAAATAATTTCAGACCTTTACTGCTCTTTATACTCTGGGTGCTTCCTATTTGGAGAGGAGTGAACAGTTCTGAGTTGGTTTTCAACACTGTTTTTTTTTTTTTTCAACACTTTAAGTTTAATCAATTAAACTAAGTTTAATCAAACTTATTTCGTAGTGTAGAGTTATTTTTTAGTAGGTGACCCAAGGGTGAGAGTATGAGAAAATAAAGACATGGCGTAAATTAGGGCCTGTTTAGAATCCAGACCGGCAGGGTTCCAGGTGGTGACGGTGGCTTTTTGCTCTCACCCCTTAATCACCATTCGGCTACTCCAGGGCCAACGACCGTGCACGCAGCTGTTGCGTTTAATCCAGTTAGGGTCCTGATCCACAGAAGATGGAAGTATGTGGCTTGCACATAAGGCACAAATTTTAAATATAAACTCTGCCAGGTGAAACTTGGAATCACAAGCCAAACGCCTGGAGGACTAAATTAGCCAGCCCTATCTTTTTTTTTTCTTTTTTTTTTTAATTTTAAAGAATAAAAGAAGGATAACATAATAATAGGGGGGACTTAGCAAATTACAGACAAAATGGTAGGAAATTATCAATGGTTATCGTTTTACATATTATCTACAAAATAGTTTCTCAGGAAAACAAATAGACAAATAATAGTGAGTTACAGACAAAAGAGGTAGGAGATT